CCCCAAAACCCCAAAACCCCAAAACCCCATAAGTCGAGACTGCTAGAAGAATTGGAAATGAAGAAAGGGAATAATAAAAGTAGGAATAATAAATTATAAGTTTGTACAAATGTATTAAAGTAAGTTTGTTAGTAATTCAAACTATTATCCAGACAAATCATTTATAAATGGAAAGGGATTGAACATCGATATAAATATGGACGACATGAACATACTTTCACTAACTCCACATAGGCCAAAGTAAAACATTCTAGAAGAAAAAGTAAAAATAAGTCAAGCTCCCAAAACACAAATGAATTCACCTCTGAAACAAGATAAAATGAAAGTGATAAGTGCTGCTTAGTCAACTATAAATAACAACAGAGTTGTTATTGATGACTTAGACGACATGGTCGATGCCATTCTCAAAGAAGAAGATGACTTACTAATTGATCTTGTAAAATAACTTCATTTTTAAAGCTTAATGTTTAGTAATTACAATAGAAGAAGACATCCGTGTAGCAAGCACCTTTGGGAAATTTGAGCTCAACACTTTCACCTCCTTAATCAAAAAAATACACTTTTCAAAATCAAGATTTTAAAAATATAGCCAGCCAACCACCTTCTCAGCTAACTCTTAATCAGAGTTTAACATAGAAAAACGGAGGATAGTAGCAGAGGTATTACGAAGAGAAAAAATAATCTAAGTTTAGCACTCTTTCTGGTCCTAAAAATCTCGTGAAATAGCATCTAATGAAGATAGAAGTTCAGGATATTGACTTAATCGAAGTTACAGAATTCCAAAACAGTGATGATAAGAAAAATAATTAGGAGGAAGAGGAGGATGATGATTTTGGATTTCTTGCAAGATAGAGCATGGAAAGAGGAAAAATGTAATCTAAAATTAAGCTGTTTTCAAATAAATATCAGAATCGTAATAAAAATCTAATAGTAGAATCAAATGCAAATACAAATGGGATTGATTTCGATGTTGATGATCTGATATAAGAATTGAAAAATGAGCAAAGTGTGGAGTTTTCTCAACGAAAAATAAGTGTTCATAATGGTAATCTTGCAATAAATGAGTAGCCAACTCTTTAAAAATAAAAGTCAATTAAAAATTAATAAGGATCATCGTTCCTAACATCCAAGCAAAGCACTATGAATAAATTTGAAAATGATATCTTAGATTCTTATGATGGACAGTCCATAAGTAGCTTTCTTAATAAAATAAAACAAAAATACTGTAATTATGCTCCTAAAACGCAAGAACAGATGAACCAAATATACAAATCAAGAGATGGTGTAAGGGCTCATGAACTCTTTGTCGATAAATAAAATCCTACTTAGTTAAGATGCTGGATATAAGGGATTCCTTAGGATGAAAGAGTAACAGCAAAGGCAGCATTCGATTAGAAGGGAAATGAGTTTTTTGGTTTCTAAAGATTGATGCTTAATAAAGGAGATGTTATAAAGATTGTAAGCGCATCAGTAGATAACACATATATGCTTTTTGCATATAAGGCTACATAAGAAAAAGATTAGGATGAGATAAAAGACATATTAGCTGTTGAAAGTACAAACGTCAAGCCTCAGTTCAATCTATATCCTTATGGATATAGATCTTATTGCCTTAAAGATTGGAATGAATATGGGTATATGGACTAAAACCTTTTTATATAGTCTGTGATGATTGAAAATGGAGAAGCACCAATAATACCTGAGCTATATCTAGCCATAAAAGATTTTAATCCTGAAGATCAAGAACCTCTAATAGCAAATGAAGGTGTAAAACTTTTAAATTTCAGAGCTGGAGAAATTGTTTAGCTAACTCTTTAGCCAGGAAAAGGAGGATGGTTTGAAGGCTATAGAACAAATGATCCTGACTGTATATGTGGAATCGCTCATATTTCAACTGTAAAAAAAATCAATTTCTCCTGAGTATTCTAATGGCACATCCATCTTCGTTATATTATACAGATAGAAAATTTCATAATAGAAACCTAATATTCAAGACCATGATTTGAGAATGTAATTAATCATTATCAACTATACATAATTAGTAAGAATTTATGCTATGGGGTTTTGGGGTTTTGGGGTTTTGGGGTTTTGGGG